ATTCCAACCGTCAGGTGTTTGTTCTTCATCCATTCGCGGCTGTTTTCATCCCAGGGGACCTGGGGGTGGGTAGGGCTCCTCTGGTGTTCCAACTGGTTGTAGATGTCAGGCGTGAAGCTGGGGACCGTCCATCCGGTTTGCTCTTCGCCAGTGTTTAAATAAGAACAGTATCTGCTTTGGCCTCGTATGTCATACCAAATTGATACTCTTGCCGGCACAACCACTTTTGTCTGGTTTCGCATTGGCAGGACAAGTAGATGAACTGGCTGCGAGTATGCCTGCCCTTTCTTCAGTTCGGATGTTATGCGGCTCCGAGTGAGTTCACCATGAACTCACACGTTAGCGACCTAATGTTAGGCCTGGGTTCAAGTTTGAAACTTCGTTCGCTGAGTGCGTTCGGAGGGCTTGGTAGTTTTTGGGGAGCGCCACAAAACGATTCTTGGAGATTTTTCCCGTAAGGCAGGTCCCGATTGTTTTTCTAACTACGCAATCATTTTTTCGACACATAATGTTAGCATTTTGAGGGGAGAAATTGTTTCCAAAGTCTACACAATGTTCTGCCGCCGAAGACAGTTAGTCCATCATTCCTCCTGCCCTCATGTGCTCCGTCTTTTGGATATGCAAACGTTTACCTGTATCTCCGAAGTAGTTCACCGCACTTGAGTTACATTTGCTCCGGTAGATTTTGTTGCCGGTTTCGTCTCAGTACAGGGGTGCTTTAGGAAACATGACATGATGTCATATTATTGATTAAAGTCGGTAGGCGATACCGATCCCCTGCCTGCCTGCCACGTGCGATAAAATTTCGAGTGTATGCGTTGGCGAATAATTAAATGTTTGAAACATTGCTTTTTTTCGGAACAAGGCGAAGATCACGAGTTCAGCAGAAGGATTTGACGTCAAAAATTTCGTGACCTCTAATTCATCTGCAAACGGTCAGTGCCTGTTAACATAGTAAATTAACTGTTCAATTGGAAGGGTGAGGCTTAATAGGTAAATATGATTGGAAACATAATTGTAAATTTGGGTGCATAGTGCGGGGTAGAGGAGTGGGCAGGTAATTATCACAGCCAGGCAGTTCAGGTGACAGTGAACGCCTGCGAAGTATAATTAAAAGGGGGGG